CCGGGGCCCCCCCCCCCGCCCTGGCCACATCCAACGGCTGCTTTCACATCGCCCCGACCGAGCAGGGTCGGACTCGGACCCCAGCCCCCATCGCAGAGGAAAGGGGCTTTTTTTGGCAGCTCCACCCTTGGGGATGGAGCCGGCGCTTTTGCGTCCTGCCCACCCCCAGCTTGGTTTTCCAAGTCCACCCTGTGCACGCCAATGCCGGCAAGGTGCTCGTGGAAACTGTCGGCTCTTTCGCTCGATTTAACCCCATGCCACGTCCCTGTGCGTCCCCCACCCTGTAACTCGCCCCAAACCAGCTCTGCCAGATGCTGCACCAACCCCCGCCAGCACGCTGGTTTAAATGCAAAACCCCCAAACCCAACCTTTTGGGGACTCCACTACCGTGGCTATTTCTAGCCCAGGGGGATGCGCCGGGCACCCCTGTACTTACTGCTCCGTAAAAAGTTGGAGTCAAGTCGGGAACAAACATCTCCGGGTAGATGGTCTGGAGGTACCAGGTGAAGTTCTTGCAGTGGAGCTGCTCCCTCAGCTTGCGCCGGTCTGTAATGTCACCATACGTCTTCTATCGGCAAAGTCACGTGAGAAAATTAAACTAACCTCCAAAGCCAGCAAGGAAAAAAACCCCAAACCCCCTCCTGAGCCGGGGCTCGGAGCTGAGGGGTCCCTCCCGGCTTTGCCATCATCTGTCAAGGCGTGCCCAGCACCGAGACCAGTGGTGGGGTCTTGCAGGACACCCCTGCTCCCTGGCAGGTCCCCTCAGGCTCTGGCTGCTCCCTGGGAGGGCTGGGACCTTTTGGCATCTCAGCACAACTTTTTGGTGTAAATAAAATATAAAAAAAATTTTAAAACTTGATGTTTTTCTACTAGAAAACATGGCGGCCAAATAGGAAAAATAAAAATAAATGGCTTTTTGGTTAGATCGTTCCACCTGCATTTGCTTTCCCACCTCCAGGCTGAGCCACCCTCCTCCCTCTGCTCAGGCTTGAGCTCCCAGCAGCATCAGCACCCCCCAGGGAGAACGAGAAGCCCACCCGGTACCTCTCTGGCCATCTGGGCGGCTTGCTGGTTCCTCCTGTAGAAGATCTCCTTGTAGTCGTCCATCCAGACCTCGGCCAGGCGGACCTGGTTCCTGGAGATGACCTGGGTGCCCTTGGGGAAGGTGTGGGGGCTCTTGGAGCGGAAGACGTGACCCACGACGGAGCAAGGGATGATCTCGACTTGACCCCCACACTGCCAGACCTACGGGGAGGCGACGCCTGAGACGTGGGGGGTCCCACTGCCCCGTGGCCCCCAGCAAGGAGCATCCCTGAAGGCACCCTTTGAAGGTGGCACCAACCCATCCTTACCCTGAAGGACATTTCCACGTTCTCGCCCCCCCAGATCTCCATCTGATCATCGTAGGAGCCGATGTGCTCAAAGTAGGACCTGGAGATGGCAAAGAGGCCACCAGCAAAGGTCGGGGACCTACAGGGAAGGGAGAAGAGGAGCAAAATAGGGTTAAAATAAAAACAGAAAAGCAAACATCTGAGTTTTGGGGACATCATGGCCCTCACGGTGGGTGTCCCCCCCATGCCCCTGCCCCATCCAGCTGCGCCCCAGATGTGGTGGCTTTGGCGGAGGGGCTGGACCTGGCTGCTGGGAGGGGATGGAGGCGGCGGTGGCAGCGTG